CAGCACATGGAGGAAACACACTGCACAAAGCACACAAACATAACACAGCATACACATCACAAAATGTATACTGAATACATCTCCATGCAGGTAATGCCCACATGTGATGCTGAGCCTCCATGAATTCCAACAAATGAAAGGGGCGGGGCCAGGAACAATCATGCTGGGGAGGAAAAGACTAGATGATGCTGGATGTTCTCCAGCCTGGAGGCGGGCTCTGTCTGAATTGCTGCAGCTTCTAGTGCACATTATGAGAAGCTTGCAGTGTGCAGTGAAATCAGAGGAAGCCATTGCAGTCCAGGAGAGGAGCCGGTACAACTGTGCAAGACTGAAGGGAAGACCGGAGGTCAGCTTTAAGGGGTACAGAGACTACACTGAAAATCGGACAGAGTTTCTAACACTCCCCCATTTTGTACAAAACAAAAACGTGAATTTGGAGCTCCATGTTAAACCCGCTAACAGATTTGTATCTCCGTCTGTGCTCCACCATTTTATACACCACAGTTCCACACCACGACCTCCCATGTCAAATTCTTATAAACGGGATTTAAACCGGGCGAGACTGAGCATCAAAACCGGGCAGAGCGCGGCCAAATCGATAGCCCCTGTATCCCGATCTTTAACACGGGGGGGGAGGGGGGTGGTTGGGGGGCGCGCCTCGTCTGCTCTGAATAATGCTGACATAAGCTTCCATTCTTCCGTCGTGCCGAGTTTCTGCTGCAATCTTTCAGCCTCTGATAAATAGAGGGATACGTAGCAAAATTTCCACGTAAACAGATTAAGCGCGGTGGCGTCTAGCGGCAACGAGAGCGAGAGGCTATTATTCAGGCTGGAACATTTTGTTTGTTACGGCCCCCTTCTGATTCGAGGAATCCCATTTCCCTGAAAGCTGGAAGATTCTCGGCTGTGAGGGGTTTGAGGACAGAAAATATCTAATAGAGCGGCGGCGGGATAATGTATTTAAAGGAACCGGAAAATGTGACTGATTAAAGCTGTTTGGAAGACGACAAGCGGGGAGAAAGGGAGAATTACGGAGCATTGTTCAATCGCAGAACGTATTGGGGAAAAAAATATTTGAACTCCAGCCAAAACTTTTTTGTTTTTTTTAAGCGTTTTGGAAGCGCTGGGCTGGGGTATCAGTAGGAACGTTGGGTATTGTTTTTCTCTTATGGAACAAATATAACAAAACACTTCTACACCCCTACTGCCCCTCTACTCCCTGCTGCCCCGGCCTTGGGGCAGCAGGGAGTAGAGGGGCAGTAGGGGTGTGGAATTCCTATCTCCCGATGCCCGGGACATGCAGTTCCGGGTGCCGGGCGGGTAGTTGTTTTCTACATTTAGCCCTGTTGTGGGCAAGCAGAGCTAAATGTACAGCGGGGAAGCCGCCACTTGTTTTGTACAAGTGATCCCGCCGAGATCACTTGTATGCAGCCTGCAGGTCTGCCATTCTCTATGGGGAGGGTTGGCGGGAGGGGGGGCGCATTGAGGAACCTGGCCTTGGGGCAGCAGAGAGAGTAAATCCGGCCCTGGCCACCACCCCTCCTCCCAACCCAATCTATGGTGGCGGTTGCGGTGGGGCGGTTGCCCCTTTGTGACCTATAGCTGTGGGGAAGGGAATGTGCCTCCCTGCAACTGAGGGGGGGAAAGTTTTGAGCAGGCTTGGGCGAACTGAGTTGGTACCAAGTCCAGCTTCATCACTAATTAACAGGCATCAAATAAAAGAAGCTGGTTATAATTATCCATCGTTCGTTCCTCCACTGCTCCATTCACCCACCAGGATCATAGACAGTAAGCTCCAATTTGCAACTTACACAAGGTTGGGGGTTATCCTCCCACCCCTATGTGAGAGCTCAGGGTGACTGACCGAAACCAAGTATGGGTGGGTTTGCAATACACAGCTGTCTATTTGTCCGTTATTCCTATTGGAACACAGTGCAGAAAGCATTTGGAATCTTGGGGTCATCATGGACTAGGGTCATGATGGTCATCATGATTGGTCATCATGCAGCATTTCCCCAAAGGAGACGTGAGAAAATCCAGCGAATGCATTGCATTGGAGAAAAGTCCTTCATGCAGCATTTTAGGTGCACTGCCCTTCTTTTTGTCCTTAAAGGAGGACAGGTGCACTGTCCTCCTTTAAGGACGAGTCTGTTTTCAAGTGCATCTGGGGAGATTGAGCCCTAAATCGCTGAATGTAAATACAATACCAAATATCTCAAATTTGTGGAGATATAACTTTTACGTACCGATCACCAATCAATATATACAGTAAATGTGTTCAGGTTTACTGGCATTTAGGCTTTTACCGCAACAACGCAAACACTGATATGTCTGTAGGCCCTATTAGGTCACGGCTAACATGGCTTTCTGAGGAGGAGAGTATTAATTGGCCAGCCAATCGTTAGGGTTTTCTGTCTGAGGATGGCTGCTTCCCCTTCCATAGACACAAGCATGCACTTTCACTCTGTGAGAACAATCATGTTTGTATCACAGGATTTTGCAAGAAAGATCATTTGGTGGCTGAATCTTTCAAGCTCCAATGGATGCATCATTTAACTCAGCTCCAGGGAAACAGCTGAATACACCTCATAACCCTATTTGAACTTCAAAGGATTTCTGGTCCTGTCCAGCCACTTTTGTGATTCATATACCTGCTCCCAACAGCACAGCTAGCAGGATGGCACCACTTTCTCTGTTAGCAAAAAGGAATATAGTGGTGTCACCTCCCCACCTACTGATTGGATCATGAAGGAGCAGCAGCATACTGATAGGCCACCATCTCTGCTCACTCCAATCTCTTCTGTCAGCATGTTTACTGTCAGCACATGTGCATGCAGCAAACCTGATTGGCTCATACTGTTAACCTTCTCTTATTCTGTGTGCTGCTGTGCAGGGGATGACAGAAGACTAAAATAAGGACTCGTTACAGGACAGCCCTGTTGGAGAGGATGCTCACTGTTACGTTGAATTGGATCATTAGCTGAAGATACAAAATATAACCTATTTCATATATTTTGCATCTGCAGCTAATGATCTGATCCAACACTATAGGGAGAAAACTCTCCAACGGGGCTGTCCTACAATAAACCATGGGCCTTGCTGTGTACCATCGGAAGAGCACTTTGTTTGCCTGAGGAAGGGACCTATAGGGTTCCGAAACGTCGCTAAACAATGTGACACATCTGTTGTGAATAAAAAGCATTAACCGAAGAACCTTGTTGGAGTGCGAGTGACTTTCTACTAAGTGTCCGCCGGAAGAAGACACTCCATGGGGTTAGAAATAGTCGTGCTAGGACCACGCTGATGTCTGTTTCTTCAATGACCATTTTATAGCCATAACTATATATCATTTTGCAGAGACTAACCAGTTTATTGAAAAAGGTAGTACGAAGAGCGACAATGACATGCAGAGTTTAGTAGCAACTTGAACTTGTCTTATCTTTTACTGAGAGGAGTTATGGAACGTAGGATTAAAAGTGTAGAATCATTTACAGAGCATCTCCAGGCAATAAGTAAAATCAACTGCGGAACTACTATCTTAGAAATGCTGGAACAGAATGAAAAAAATTGACGCGATTCCTCCATGAACACAAACAGTGCGTCGATCGAGGAATCGCCGTTGTTTGCATTGTATTCTGACAAGTGCCGCCGGCACCTGTCAGAGTACCCGATTAGAGCGGGCAGCTCATTGGCTGCCGCCTCTGATCGCACAAAGATTTTCCAGCAGGCTCCTTCGATCAGCTGATCGAGGTATGCCGGCTTAAAGGGAGTCGACAGCCTCACACACTGTGCGACATTCGGCCCGTACATTAAAAACTGTCCGACATTCGCCCAGTGTACACATGCTTACTTTAATGACCCCCTCTGCATCTGCACACCCCTTACTTTTCTTCAACTCGCCTGCTGCTTCTCTGTTCAGCTGCCAAGAGTATGAAAAAAAAAAAAGGCCTGTGCAAGCTCCAAGTTGATCAACTCAGAGCTTACACAGGGCTGACGGTTCTGTGCCTGTCCCCATGTGCCAGCATTGGGCCAATTACCACCAATCGCTAGTTCTGTCACATGAGGTTTTAGAGGAATGAGTCGCATGCTCCTCCATACCACAAACATGCTCTACTTTCTTCCAAGTGAAAAGGTGAGGATGTTCTGCTGGGCAGTAGGGCATTAATAAACCTGCACAAACCTACAGGTTTGGTTTAAATGATAAATGTGAAAGCTTACCTATGAAGATTTATATTTGCTGATGTATTTCCCGTTGCTTAGCTTGTGTGAGTGTTCAGCTTGAGGGTCATGGATTGAAGGTTCTCTCAAGTAACTGCCCTTTAACTGCCTAACGTCACATACCATCTCCCATCAAATAACAGAGCCAAGTACCAAAGAAGTTTCCGATATTTGATACTGTTATGCACACCCAAAAGCTGGGAGACTGGGTGCGACGTTAGGCAATTGACAGGGCAGCATCTTTCAGGCTTTAGGCGACATCTGATTCTCATGCTAATGAGTCGGGCTCAGACAAAGTAAGTAAAGCCAAATAGGGGGACGCATTTAAATGTGCCGTGCTTACTCCTCACTGAGAGCTACAGTCAGCGTCCAGTGTCAAGGGTATTTAGAAAAGTATACAGACAGCCATAAGGAGTTACTGAGCTGGGCATTATGAACACCAGGAACCCATGGGTGGGCTATCTGCCCTTAGTTCATAAAAAAAAAAAAAAAACATTTTAAAGTTTGGCCAGAGCGTATTTTTGAGCCAAAAATATGAAAGATGGTGAGTGATGATTAGGATACTCAACAAAAAAAAAAAGATGAGGGGGCAATTGAAAGGGAACAAAGTTACCAAATGAACAAATGCAAAGGCCGTTAAAGGTCCTACATTATGTGATATTCGTGAGTCATACATTAGGCTTTATCTGATGATTGTGTCAAATACAGGGGATCCCAGTTCCAGAGGATCCCCTTTCCCGCCCCCCCCTCCAATCCCCAGAAGTAAATAATAGAGTATTTACCATTTCTAACCTGTTTAAGATGCTCTTGATCTGCGAATCCTTCTCTGCCTGCTGCAGCCGGAGCCGCTTCTCACTCTGCTCTAGCCGAGACTGATACTGATGCAGCATTTTACTAGTTTGTTCTTCCTGGGAGAAAAGGCGACGCTCGTACTCCTCCAGCTTCTTGTTGGACATCAGGAGCCTTTCCTTCAGAGTATAGATCTCCTCCTCATACTCCTTTACCTACAAGGTGGGCGAGACAGGGAGGAGGAGAAAGAAGTGGAAAGATGGAAGGAAAGAGACAAGAGAGTTGAAGGAGGTGGAGAGGTGAGGACAGGCACTGAGAAATATAGAGGAGAGAACAATGTGACATCAGTAATTGGAAAGACAGAGAGGACAGAAAGGAAGAAGTTATAAAAGTTTGATAAAAAAAGACAAGATGGTTGGTGTATACAAAGGACTGGATAATGATGAAGTGTGGCACTATAATGGAGCTGTAGTCAAGGATGGTGGAGAAAACGTAGGAGAGGACAAGAGAAGAGAAAAAATACAAGAAGATGGTGCAGGAGTAGATAGTATGGTGGGGGAGAAGCAGTTGAAAACCAGTTCGAAAAAAGGTGGATGGATAATGGAGGAAGAGTTAGGCTGAATTGAAAGGAGTAGAGGAGTGAGAGGACAAGATAGGCAAAATAAAAGAATGACAAGGCAGTAGAGGAGAAGCAAGACCGGGTTGAAGAAGAGAAGGGGAGAAGAAGGTGCTAAAGGCGCAGAACAAAAAAAAGGAAAAGAATTAGGACAAAATGGTGGAGCAGAAATAATATGAAATACTGAAGAAGACACAAGACAGGATGAAAGAAGAGCAGCGCGAGATGGTGAAAGAGAAGCAGGATGGGATGGCCAAGGACAAGTAGTGGAATGAGCACAGTGATGAAGAAGAGATTGTAAAGGTTAATGGAAGAAAAGTGGACTCCATAAAATTGGAAAGAACAGAATGGTGGAGAAGTAGACCAGGATAGAAGCAGAAGAGAGGTGGTGAAAGAGAAGCAGCATGGGATGGTGGAATAGAAGCAGCATGGCATGGTGAAGGATGGTATGGTGGAGGAGAAGCAGGATGAGATGGTGGAAAAGTGGGACAAGATGGCAGTAGAGCAGAGTTTAATAAAGAAGAAGCTGAGCAGGATATTGGAGGAAGTAGAACTCGATGAAGAGACATAGAACAGGATAATAGAGAAGCAAGCTATGATAGGTGCAGAAAAGAGAGGACTGAATGGTGAAGGAGTAGCAGAATGGGAAGGGAGAGATGTAGGACAAGATGGCAGTAGAGCAGGATGTGATCATGGAGAAGCCGGACAGGATATTGGAGGAAGTAGGACTCAATGAAGAAACAGAGAACAGGATAGTGGCGAAGTAGGCCATGATAGGTTCAGAAAAGAGACAACTGAATAGTGAAGGAGAAGCAGGATGGGATGGGAGTGAACCAGGATGTGATCATGGAGAAGGAGGTAGGACTCAATGAAGAGAAATAGAACAGGATGGAGGAGAAGTGGGTAGGATTGGAACAGGAGAAAGAGGACAGGATGGTGGAAGATAAGCGGGACAGATGGTGACAGAGAAGCTAGACAGATTGGCAAAAAAGGATAGTGCAGGATAGTGAAAAAATAGCAGGGCAGGATGGTGGAAAAGGGGCAGAAACAAATGTTGGAAGTGAGGCAGAATGGTGGAAAAGGACCGGGTAAGATACTGGAAGAGAGGTTGTGCACAATGGTGAGCACAATTTAGGGCAGGATGGTGGAAGAAGGCCAGGACAGGAGGAGGGAAGAGAAGCATAGTAGGATACTGGAAGAGAGGCTGTGCACGATGGTGGGCATATCATAGGGCAGGATGGTGGAAGAAGGCCAGGACAGGAGGATGGAAGACAAGTGGAGTAGGATGGTGGATAAGGAGTAGGACAGGATGGCAGAGAGTAACTGTTGTGTAACATGCTGAATAGTAATGGGTAGAGGACAGCTGTACTCACCCTCTCAAGGCGACTCTCATCCATGGACTTTGAGTACTCTTTTAGTTTGTACTCCTCTCTTTCTATGTGAGCGCTTTCAATGTCGGCGGAGAGATGAGGCATATTAGACACCCAGGCAACTGTGCGTTCCGAGGCAGGAGTGACTGGGTTCAGCGTGGCCTGCGTGTGTGAGTGCTGGTGGAGGAACGTCAAACATTATGAACAACCCAACCAAACACACAGCAGCAGTAGACTGTGGAACAGATGAAAGGTGTACGGATCACGGTACCTGCTTGGTTATACTGGGTTTAAGCCCTCCAGCGTCTTTCTCCACTGACTGCTGTCTCAGTCTGGCAGCTCCATACATTGGTTCTGGGCTCTGCAGGAGGTTACCGCTGCTTGGCCGGGGTTTGTGGGCGGCCTGCACCGTCAGCTGTTGGGATTTGCCCCTGTGGAGGGGAGGGGGCTGCGTGTCCGGCCTTCGCTGTACGCTGGGGGCGATGGTAATTTGAGGGGGGGACAGCATGTGCTGCAGATTGTCTTGGAGGGAAAGCTGCCTCTTGCTGTAGTGTAAGAAGGAAAAAAACATGGTGTTAAAGCCTAGTGTCGGCCCCAAAATGCACACGACAGATAACTTATGTAGGCACCAAAACATTTAAAACTACTGATATATTTTCGGCAAAACAAGCCATCTCTGAGGATGTAACAACTAACATGGAAGGGGCAGGGACACGGGGGGCAGTACGATTCTGGTGCTCCCTCTGCTGGTTAAACAATTATAGAATTGGCGGTCATTAATAAGTACAAAGCGTATGTTACCCATGGCAACCAGTAAGATTTTAGCATTTTTCTGGTGAAGGTCAGAAAATAAAAGATAAGACCTGTTTGGTTGCTATGGACATGAAGCTTAGCTCAACCAATCAGAGTCCAAACGCATGTTCCCAATGCAACATATAGTTAAAACCAAACTCTAGCCATCAAGCAAATTACACAGTTGAGCTACATATTCTTCTCTTGTGAGCCACACACTACCGTTGTACTGTTTAGTCAGGTGGGGGACCTCACTTTTTCTTTATTACGAAGAACTAATAGAGCCTGGTCACCTCCCTGTCCTCAGGACTACTTGCTGGACAATGAAGGAGCCGCACCAGAATGATGATGTTACCCAGTGTTCTTTCTCCCTTTAAGCTCCATGTTTGACTGTTGGGACGATGGTAGAAGAACCTGACTGGCTCACATTGCTGGCCCTTCCTCTCTGATTTCTAGTGTTCATTGAATTTTAATTAAATGTAAAGATGGATTTCAGACACTGAATAGTAGCAGGATTTCATATGCATCCAGGGCCGGACTTCGGACAAGGCCGCCACTGTGTACCTCTCTCCGCCGGCCGGGGATCCTCAGGATGGAGAGCGTCCGTTCTCCGCTTTGCTCCGTGTAAATAGTTAAGGGGAGAGCTGCACTCGCAGCCCTTTCCCTCTCAGCTGTCACAGTGTAGCCAGCACAATGATGCGCTAGAACTCCTGTATTGGAGGTGACAGGTTCAATAAAGAGAACCTGTCACCGCCAAATGCTATCACACAGGGGCTTTTTAGGCCCCATTCACACCTATGCGTATTGTAATATGCGCGTCTGTCGCGCGACCGTCACACGGTTTTTTTACCGCGATTCGCGTTAAAAAAGTCGCGCGACCGTCGCGCGATTCCAAAGGCTACTTGGCAGTATACAAATGGAAAACGCCCTACAAAACGGACCAATACGCAGCAAAAAACGCTCCGGGACCTTTTCAGGCGTGGGCCGTTTTGTAGTGCGTTCGGGACGGGCGGAAATACGGACAGGTGGGAACGATACCATTGACTACAATGCTATTTATTTTTTTGACCGTTTTGTAGAGCGTTCATCGAGCGTAGGACGCGCTACAAAACGGTCATGTGTGAATGGGGCCTTAGCGCCTGTATGATAGCAATAAAGTTTAAGTAAAAAAAACTTTTTTTGAATAAATAAATAAAAATAACAAAAAAATAGGAAGTAATAATTTAAATAAAAAAATTAATAGGTGTTTAAAAAGTAAAAAATAATAAGAAACAAAATGATATATATACAAAAAAATAATAATAATAATCTGGTTGCCATTCTCCACTGGGGAGGGGGGGCGCATTGAGGAACCTGGCCTTGGGGCAGCAGAGAGAGTAAATCCGGCCCTGTATGCATCTAACTGTTTTAGGGCTCATTCAAACAGGCGTGCACATCCGTGCAGAGACCTTCTTCCGTTTGCTGCGTGTAATTGCATGTAGCTGCCTATGCCTCCCTATGAGAGGACGCGGCTGCATGCGGTTACACACAGACCCGCACCTGCACATCTGTGTGATTCCATGTGCCGGCACTTGCATGCAGACAGTGTGTGTTCAAGTGCGGGCACCTGGACCCTCACAGATGTGCAGGGTCAGGTTTGCGTGTAGCCGCGTCCTCGTACACGCAGCACCAGGTCTCTGCACGGGTTTGCATGCTGTATGCATGTGCACATCCCGTGTGAATGAGCCCTGAATCAGACATGACTGAATTAACATTTTTTATAAGAAATATTTGCCTGACATTGAGATTTCACACCTGGCCCATTGTTCTTTTAGCTGAGCCTCAATGTCTATGTATCCACCTAAACGGCAGGATAATAATCTTCATTGTGCTTTGATCTCTTTTTACAGTCAAATTATAAAGCACTCAGGCCTAGTGTAGAAGTCTATTTACTCCTTGGCTCTAAAAGGCAAAGGGAGGCCTACCTTGAGCAACACACCACATATAGACAACGCTACCTGTCAGCTGATCAGCTGTCACATGACAGTAATCAACAGCTGGAAGCCATTGCAATCACCTACTGCCCCCATCAATATGACTGTGGCAGGAACTGCAGGGTCACTACAAGAACATAAGCATGCACACTAATAAGCGGGTCCAAGTCTGCTCTCCCATGCACACGGACTTTGTGTGCTCTGCGTGGGTGGAGAAAGTTATATCTAGGTTTCGGACTACGGACCATCTGATTGGTCATAACAGCGAGAAAGAGGTTAATAATAATTTGATCATTTAGGCTTGTTTTTGCCTGGACAGACACATATGGAGACTTGTGCTCAATGTCCCTAAGGGTAGCTGACCAGCTGGCTGTAATAGCGGATTTGCACACGGGTGCCTCTGTCCCACCTTTTCCTGCCTCTGTGTACACACAAATGGCCGTGTGGACCTGAGCTGAACTCCGGCATTCCATTCAGTCTTGGGCCGTTCTACCGGCTCCTCTCCTGGACTGAAATTGATTGCACTCAGATATGTCACATAGAGTCCACCTCATTTCCTGGCTGTAGGACATTCAGCATCATCTAGAGCTTTCCTCCCCAACCTAACTGTCCCTGGCCCGCCCCTTTCATTCATTGGATTTCAGTTCTTTCAATCATGACGGCTCAGGAACACGTGTGGGCATTAGGGTAGTCTGCTGATTCAATGATTTTGGCTATATCCTACACAGGAATTAATTAATCCTTGGTGACGGACGCCGGCAGAGAGAGGAGGGGATGTTCACCCGGTGGGATGAGGTATGCCTCCAGGTCCTCTCCTCTCTCATGCAACTGTCAGGCTCTCTGTCCATGACTGAGTGCCCGACTTTTCAGAGGGGGTGACACCAAAATGACTGTCAGTCATTTTGGTGTCACCCCTCCAATGGTGTCACCCGGGTGCGGGCCGCACCCCCCTAGTAACGCCACTGAATTGATCTTAGCTCAGTAGTTACATAGCCAGGTTGCTGACTCTACTGATGGTATGCAGACTGTAAAGGTAGGTAGTAGGACGAAGACCCTACAGATCTGTGGATAAAATACAAGTATATGCATAAAGTATGTATAAATGTGAAAGCTACACCATGTGACTTTCTGAAACATGTTACAATGGTGGCTATAAAGAAATACTTGCTGAAAACATGCCGTATGTCGGGGGAAGTGATGATATGAGGAAATGGTGGAAAAATTCTTTTGTGGGGATATCTGTAAAAAATTAATCCAGGCAGCTGGACCTGTTGTATTTTTCTTGAAGACGTTACGCTGGTCAGCATCTGGGAAAGCTAGCCAGATGACCAGCGAAACCTCTTCAAGAAAAATACAGCAGGGCAAGTTGCCTTGATTTATTTTTTCATACATATACCATGACGTGGATGAATGAGAACCTTCACAGACCTTTTGTGGGGAGCGTATGTCTATGTCAAAGGATTTGACTCTGGAGGCAATCACTAAAGTTTTGGTGTTAAGGAAGCCATGACGTGTCCATTGGGTGAAGGCCAAGGGATCAGTGAGCTTTGGGATGAACTGGGGGTTACCCAGGATCATTTGCAAAGGTCAGTGTGGGGGGTGTCTCATAGTAGCCAATGGACAACAGATATATACCTACAGTGATAATCATAAAGAGATTTCTAGTCTAGTACGCCAGGAAGTCAGTTGGACTATTTGGACAGCATAATATTACTTATAGACATGCCGTAAACCAAAAAGCTGACAGAGGTGGAAAGTAGCTCCGGCTCACTGAACCCACCTGTGTGCAAATATCCAAAGGAAACAGTTGTTTCTTCAACTTCCTATACTGAGTCTGCTTACCTCCGATCTCATAATGGAGGTCCTACCTGTGGCCCTAAGGGCTTGTGCCTACCAACGCCCAAGACTGTCTAACTGCATTTAGCTCTCCTGGGAGCAGAGTATAAATACATCCCATAACAGGCAGTCGTCCTCGATGGTGGAAACAGACCTCAGCAATGATGGAAACTCAACTGTAGGCACATCAACTACTATGGAGTCTTAGGAGAACACTCAGCGCTCTGCTGCACAATGTTTGCACTGGACCTGCCACCCATTTCCAGCTAGAGCGTCCCAGGTTGCTAAGAGCCGGGCAGGGGGGTATGTAAGGGCCACACACATCTCTATGCCCAGCTCTTAGCACTCTGGAACACTAAGTGCCCCGCCAAGCTCCTGGCAACCAGTGATGTCACTGGTTACCAGGAGCTCAGCAGGACACCAGCCAGAGCATCCCACCCAGTTCTTGGCAACCAGTGATGTCACTAGTTGCCAGGACCTCAGCAGTATTCCGGCCACAGAGTGCCACCCAGCTCCTGGCAACCAGTGATGTCACTAGTTGCCAGGAGCTCAGCAGTATTGCGGCCACAGAGTGCCACCCAGCTCCTGGCAACCAGTGACGTCACTGGTTGACAAGAGCTCAGCAGGATAACAGCCAGAGCGTCCCACCCAGCTCCTGGCAACCAGTGACGCCACTGGTTGCCAGTAGCTCGGCAGCACGCGGTGTTATGCACCCCACCCTGCCGCATTAGGCAGCAAAAAAGCTAGGGATGCCCCTGGTCAGCAGAATTGCCAGTGGTCTCCTCTGCACCATGCCTTGTTCTGCGTCTCTGTGTGGGGGCAACCATTTTGGTAGAGGAAGGTCTTTGCTTCCTCATGTCAGAGCCTCCAGCAAGGAGAACGGTGAGCAGCACAATAGTGACATCACCAAATCTCACCCAAAATCTCATGAGATTAGCAGTCAGATGCAGCAATGCCTTAGATCTCGCACATCAGATATACAGCTATGAGGCTACAGAACAGGAGTGCCTAGGCACACTCACATACCAGGAAGTGCACTTTTACTACTTTTCAGGAGAACTTCTGGACAAAGGGTACATTTTCAGGGTACTGCTTAGGCACAATTAACTTTCCTGGATGTTCCTTACCACATAGCAAATGTTCACTTTTTGAGTTTAAAAAAAACTAGCCCTTGCAATGTGGCTACACCCGAACTGCAAGGGTACAGCGCTCGATTTATCTAGGGGGGCTCAAATAAAGCAGATATTCTCATCTGATCTTCAGTCCTGCCAGGCTGCTAGACCGGTCACCACAGTCTCTTCTCCCTTGGGCTATGGCGGTCTAAGGACCACTGACACCATTATGTCTTATGCTGGTTCATTGACTTGCATTAGATGTGAGGATGCAGAGGGACATTCCACATTCCATAGCATCCAAAGTGGAGGGGAAGAGAGGTGGGCGCTGACTGCTGTGGTATAGAGGATAAGGTGAGTAAAGCTGCTTTTTCTTTATCCTGAGTTCTTCTTTATCAACATGGAGTGACCCAGAGGCCCTGTATACAGGCCAGGCCTAGGATCCAGCATCCTATTGAGGCTTTAAAGAAGTTCAGGTAGTGGTGGGCACTTCATCCGTAATAAGCGTTTTATACACTTTGGTAGACATGACAGGTGAACTTTAATATCTGTCTGTGTATGACGTCTTGGCTAGTCATGACATCTTTATTTTCTATTTAAATGTTAAAGTTTTGGGATCTTTCTTTTGTTACTGACTCAATTAAAGCTGAACTCCAGGCAAACAGCTAAATGCAGAAATTGAATACATACCCTACGTGCCAAGGGATTTATATTTCTGTACATTCAGGCCTGAGATTTGCAAAGCTCTGTCACACAGCACAGCCCTGTCTGGCAGGAGAGGAGACCTCGTTTTTTTTTGCTGCAGATACGTAACACTTACAGGTCTCATCCCTCCCCCAGCCTGTGACTGGACAGTCAAAGGAGAAGCAGCAGACTGATGAGCTCATCCCTCTGTCACACTACTCTCTCCTCCTTTTTCACTGTGCTTTTGCGCTGCAGCACACCTGATCCTAGTAGTGTACCATATTTCTAATCCTGATGTTTCCATCCTTCCCACCATCCGGAACAACCATCTCAATGGGGACCAGGAGAGCTAAATGCACGAATGGACAGTTGGGGCAGAATGCCAATACCTGTGTGCACCAGCCCTTAAAGGAGACCTGTCATCTTATATGCAAGTACATACTGTATGCAGCACCTAGAGCATTGTGTACTGTGGAATCAAGGTTTTTAGTGCCACCCTTAACTTGAGCTTTGGTTTCCATTAAACCGCATTACTGCATGCCGTACTTTTTTTTTTAAGTGCACACCACTGGAACGCAGTGGTGTGTACCAGCCCATCCACGACAAAGCAATTTGCCTTCTCTTGCGTTCGGGCTGCATTGGAGTAAATGGCCAGCGCAGCTCAAACGCAGATATTGTGAACTGGCCCTAAAGCAGAAAGAGTTCACATTTCTCATTCCATCTCATATCCCAAAAATAAGAGGATTATTCCTCATTTTAGGACAGTGGGTGGAGCCATGCACAAAACAATGATTTGCATGACTTAGCCCACTGTCCTTGAATGAGGAATACTCCCCTGATTATTTAGGATATGAGATGGAATGATTCATGTGAATACATTCTGCTTTAAGAAGACTTTACTGTGCTACATAATACACCAGAATTACACTTTACAAGGTAAGCTTTTACAGAGAGAAATATGGAGTCGCCTCCTAAAAAAAAGCTAATAGCATGGCTGCCTCTGGCCTGTTTTGGGATATGCAGAAGGAGACATGCCATACAGTGCCTTCTGCTTTAGGATGGCTGTACTGTGCTACGCACTGATAGGAGTGTGGGCTTTCTGATTGCTTTAATCCTTTCTCACCAACCTGTATGGCATATTATGTATTAACACAGAGGCATCCTCATCTTACGCCATTCCTTGTTTTATCTGAATTGTGAGCTACAATATTGAGATTTCAACCATTGCACCACCTGCTGGGGAAACTAGATATTACAGAGTGAACATAAACAGGGTTATTCACAGAAGGGTGAAGAGTTTGGAGAAGGCAGGGAGAAGTGAACAATCTAGGACAGAAGTAGCCAAACTCTGGCCCCCCAGCTGTGGTGGAACTACAAATCCCATGAGGCATTGCAAGATTCTCCCAGCCACAGACATGACTCCCGGAGAGAGATGCATCATGGAATTTCACCACAGCTGGAGGGCCTGAGTTTGGCTACCCCTGATCTAGGACAACATAGCTGAACTGGAAAGTGAGCTGAATTGGAGAATTTTTCCAAATCAGCTATGTTGTCCTAGATTGTTCCCTTCTCCTGCCTTCTCCAAACTCTTCACCCTTTTGTGAATAACCCTGAAAATATTCTCTATGGCAGGGGTAGCCAAACTTCGGCCCTCCAGCTGTGGTGAAATTACAAATCCCATCATGCATCTGCTTCATGGGAGTCAAGCTAGCGGCTCTTTTGCAAAGCCTGCCGGGATTTGTAGTAGCTACCCCTGCTCTATGGGAACCATCGTATTATGGTTGGTCTACTCTACAGTCGAACGTGAGAATCCCTCTGTGAGAATTTTGGGGGGATTTTCAGTAGGCAACCAGCTTCAGCTGAAAGGGGGCTGCATTTGTACACAGCATGCATAGTTTAAAGACCCCTCCATAGCAAAGGCAGCTTCATAAATCCTTGCCACTAGTCCACATTACCTAGGTGCTTACTTGCAAAATGACAGATCCTCTTACAGACCCATTTACACTTATAAAAACAGCACCCAAAGCACGAAAAAGATCCATTGCCTTTGTGCAGGAGTGCAGTCTACACCGTACATTTTGATGCGCTGAGTTTTTCAACACAATTGCAAGCTGTAGTGTTGCTTGGGTGCCTTTAAAAGGAATATATATGAATAGACTACGTATGCAGCAAAGGGGGTGCCATGAGTTTTAAGAGTTGCATTTCATTTTTCCCCATAACATGCATACTAAATGCACTTCGATGTGTTTGAAACACAACGCATGACAAGAGGCACCGCATGGATAAAAATGCCGGAGTATTTACAGTTAAACTGCTGCAAAGTAAACCTTATCGAGCTAGCATAAGTTAAAAAAAAAAAAGCAAGGAAGGACCAAAATGACACTTTACATGCCTTTCATTTTCTCCTGTCTTCCTGTGCAACCCGGAAGCCTCCAACTCCAGGGTACTTCAGGGTCAGAGCATGCTATGCCCACCCACCTCTCTGTTGGTGAGAGAGGCATGGTGCATTGCTATGGGAGATGCAATGGGATGGGGACTAGCCCTGAGGTTTTTAAAACTGGGGGCTCCTGGGGTGCTCAGGAACATGTAAAAGGTTCCTGCAGGCGATTCTCATGCCTGAATCGATAGGTTAACATTGCTACAGGTTCACTTTTTAAACGCACAAGTGTAAATGGGCCTGCAAGAGCTGGTTTTGATACTGTGAACACTGACTATCTCATCGCCCCCCAGCTGTCTGGCTGCGTTAAATATAGATCTGTGTAATCAGTATGTAATTAATAAAGCTGCATAAAACTAAGGGAAAGAGAGATGTGTTCACGCAGGAACAACACCCTCCATTCTTTAATAAAGATTAGGACTATCAAAGAGCACGTGATGGACAGAAACACAGAATAACTATATATAAATATATAGTGCTATATACATATATGATTTATATATTTCTATCTGATGATATTTATACCACCTCTCTACTCTCCCCACCTGCGGCCCCAAATCTTTTGCCCCCTAGTGGGGCCGGTACCTGAACTCTGACCCCTGCCGGCTGAAATCGTCGCTGTAGCTGTGGCTGTGCAGCAGGTGCTTGCCGGCGGTCAGGTCCTCGCTCTTGCTGTAGCCGTGGAATGGGGCGAAGGCGTCAGCTCCAGGGTCCGGCCGATGAGGAGCTGGGTGAGGGGGTGGTCCGCCGGGGCCGTCGGGGGCCATGTGGAAGAGCGGGTTCTGGAAGGACAAGGGGATGCGAAGCTGCTGAGCCGAGAGCCCGTCGGTGGTGACCCCCATTTGACTGAGACGCAGACCAGCCGCAATGCTAGACCCGCTGCCCTGGGAGAGCCGGCCCCCCGGGCGGAGCCCCGCGGATATGGAGGCCTGGCTGGAGTTAAGCATGTCCCCTACGGCCTGCAGGTTGGACACGCTGTTCATGCGACTGTCCTGCAAGTCTAACATGGACACGCTTTTGTTCACACTCAGCATCTTCTGGTCGGGTTCTGTGATGTCTGAGCTGCTGGTGCAATAGGCGGGCGATGAGCGGGTGAGGGGGCGGCGTGACACAAAGAACATATCTTTTGAGGACTTGTCCTTAGTGGGTGAAGGTAGACGGTTCATGTCAATGGAGCTGAGGAAACACAACATTTAAAAAAGATAATTCCATGAATCACATAATTGTAATATAGACCAAGAATCCATTTTAGTATTGTTGTTTGCAGTCTTGAATCACACCTGACTGCTGTGAACCACTGTCTCACCCCTGTTTCTACCCCTGTCCTGGGGTAGAAACCTCAGAATATACCTTTTGATAAAGATCCACATCCTAGGACGAACTAGGTAAACATTTACTATAATAAAGAGAAATCACTGTATGACACAGGGCATGATATTCAGGGCTCACTGTCCATGATTTTGTTGCGCCTACAGAGAAGTATTGGGCAGAACGCCAAAGTATGCTGGAGTTTAGGACTATGCAAATAATGTAATGTCTATAGTCTGGGCACAGGTACACTTTAACTGGGTTATTCACTAAAGGGTGAAGGGTTTGGAGAAGGCAGAAGGGAACAATCTAGGCCAAAATAGCTGATTTGGAAATATTTGCCAATTCAGCTCACTTTCCAGTTCAGCTATGTTGTCCTAGATAGTTCACTTCTCCTGCCTTCTCCAAACCCTTCACCCTTTTGTGAATAACCCTGTAAATGCTCAAAAGTTCCCTATGTTTTACAAAGAACCTGGGCATATAGTAGATATATTTTGTATGTGTCCGTGCTGTGTGGTTCTGGATCGCATTATGCATCAAGGTTAGGTGACTGGCACCTTCAACACACTGTACCTGTTGAGGTCCCGTGCCATGTAGCCCTGAAGCTCCGCAGACGGTCCCCTTAATACGACGGGTTTGGGAGGTGGTAGCCGTTCTTGATGACTTGGTTGTCGCTGGATGTGGGGGTTCCTGAGCGCTAGGCTGATGTCGTTGAGAAGGCGCGGGAGGGGCCCCAGCTTTATAAGAGCATCCTATATCAGACATAAGATGGCAGTTGTAAAAATATGATTGTCTCTATTCCACTCTTGTGATACTACATGGCACGTTTCATACAAAAAGCCAAACATACAAAAAGCTAAAACATGTTTCTTTTTTAGTTTTGGGTAGAGTAGGGAAAGGGTTAAGACTCCTACTGGGCTATTTTTGTGCTCTCTGTGTCTTGCTGGGGATATTTCCCTTCAATAAGTGTCACAGAGACCCAACAGGAAGTGAGAGGAACTCTCTCTAAAGTGAATGAAATTCCACACTGGGCACAATACACGCACCAGGTTTAAACCGGTAAACCTTACTTTGCGTCAACTTCCCATCGTGCAGGCTTTATTCTACCACTATCAGATATGCTCCCACTGTTACTTTCAGGTGGCTTGGATGCAGCAACAGCGCCAGGGTGGGTGTCACCCGATGCGGGCTCTGTGCATGCATTATGACGTCCATGGTGTGGCATCATCTGGGATGTACTTCACTGCCAGCGGCCATCTTGGTGATGGACACCAGCAAAGAGAGGGTGAGATATTGGCCCAGCGGGATCAGGTATGCCGTCAGGTTCCCCCCCCCCCCCCCCCCCCCCGCGCTTTTAAAAGGAAGAGCAGCAAAGAGAAGGGAAACTACCATGGATGACAGTAAGGCGCACATTACAGTATTGTTTTATGTAAAAAAATCTGAGGGTTTAATGTCGCTTTAACATTTTCTGTTATTAGTTTTTATTAAAAAGATTGACAGGTATCTTGACGGGAATGAAAATGACCTTATTTAACACATCGCCTTTGCCGCGCGCTTACATCTGATTATCTGGCGCGCTGCTGTGCTAGCCGGTCCTTAAACAGATTAATAAATTATGTATGCTGCAGAATATTATTTCTGTATAGATGAGTAGAAAGCGGAGGTTACAGCAAGACTAAAAACACTGAATAATAATAGCTGTTCATGCTGTTGGCCAGATTTTCAGAACAGTCAGTCCATCCAACTCCGACCTATGGTTATGTTTTAAGCGTAGGTCAATTTGTGCTAATTTTGGATAAGATTAGATTTCCTCATAGCAAAATTTGGATGAGACCCCATGATTCATAGCTAGGCCTCTGCTCTTCACTTTCTGTTTCTGCAGATACAACAGGAAATGAGAGGAAATCTCTCCAAATCGAACAAAATTCCCATCTAAAAGAGTCATCACAGGAACAAATGTGCCCGGAGGTGTCACCAGGCCAAGTGTCATCCGGCTGCCAGGTGTCACATCAAGTGTGAAGTCATTCAAGTGTACTGGCACCTATTTTTTAAGCACTATTTTCATGTATGATTAAGCACTTTGACTCTACAGATGATGGAAGGGGCGGGTACCTTCAGGGCCCGTCCTCATGTTCGGGGGGGTTCTGTGGCCTTCACAGGCTTCTCTGCCTTCCCCCACTCGGGGGGTCTCTCTCTGGGAGAGCTCCCACCCAGTACTCGTGGGTCCTACTTCGGTAGGGCCCTGAGGACTGGGGTCTGCCAGCCTTCGGGTAGGTGGACCTGAGTCATCCTTGCCCCTGTCAGCAGCCTCGCGCCCCGGAGGGTTCAGGAATTCGAGGCCCTTCCACTTTTCTTTGTGTGCTGTGATTTCACAATTCACTTTTTTGTTCACAGGGGAAGCCGATTTTGTTGCACGCAACGCGGACTTCAAAAGAAAAAAAAAAAAGGTGTGAAGTCATTACACATGCATGTGACATCATACTTAACTGCTGGTGGGCATCTTGGTCATAGATGCCCACAAAGAGAGGAGGGGAACGTTCACCTAGTGGGATAAGGAATGCCATCAGGTCCCCCCCTCTCGTGCTGCTGTTGGGCTCTCAATTCATGACCAAGTGCCCAACTTTTAAGAGGGGTTGACACCAAAATTGTCATGCATTTTGGTGTCACACCCTCTGATGGTGTCACCCAGTGCGGGACGCACCCCCACCTCCAGTTGACGCCACTGCTTGGATGTAAGCGCTGCAGGTTTCATAGACCCTAACACTGAGGCTGTGTCTCCAGTTTCCTCTCCTCGTAGCTATTCACAAAGAAAAGCCCGGGGCTCTGTATTCGGTCAACGGCCTGGAGGAGAGGGGGCGGAGACACAACTGCAGCGCTGGGATCTTTGGGAGCAGCAGCACTTACATCCAAGCGGCCCGGAAGTACAGAGGGAGCTATACTGATCCCGGAATGTAAATGAGCAGATTTGATAGAGGCAGAAGAAAGCAAGCATGCCGGGAATGGCTTCCGAAGCAAAGCAAGGTTTCACTGATTTAAACCTGATAGGTTTATTGTTCCCCAAGTTGGGCTTTAAAGAGCTGTCATAGGAACAGGTGTCCCAATTGAAGAATTTACCCTCACCTCTTGTTCTAGGGACAACTCTAAAATGTTGGATTTCCCATCACTTTCTGTGTCACTGACAATAGTTACCAGGACAAAGAGAGGGGTGAAGAGCACACAAAAAAAAATTTTCAGCATTGGATTTGCAGTAAACTTGCCTTTTTGCAACAGTGATAACAAATTTGCATTATACCACCAGACACTTCTATAAATAAAGGTTAAATCTCAGACTCTAGAGCAGGGATGTCAAACTCAATTTAATCGTGGGCCGCATCAACAGTATGGTTGCCCTCAAAGGCCCGGTTGTGTCTGTAAGACTATATAAGTGTATCTAATCTTTATCATAATTGCCTCTGCATTCGATTATCACTGGTTTTAGTAATAACTTGATACCTAGATCTGAAAGCAGAAGTCTAGGAAATGGCCTGGTGGGCCGGATTTGGCCCCTGGGCCTTGAGTTTGACACATGTGCTCGAGTCTAGAGAGATACAAGGTCAGGAGCTCGTTTTTTCACAGGATACTACAGGTTATTATTTACAGAAGCTGTTACTGTAGTGCAGACCCGGACAATTCCCAAGAGCCAGATAAACCAATGCTCCTTAACCTAACTTTTGAGGTTTTATCTAGTTGCTGTCAATGGAGATGACTCCTAAAGAAAAATTCTGCTGGCTTCTGGATTGCACATGCTGGCTCCTGAATTCCGTATTAATTTGTCCACCTCTGCTGTAAGGAATTTCAAATGACATTGCAACATTAACCAGAGCGCTAACAGGAGAATTGTTTTATTTCAGTTGACACCTACTGGAGGTGTACAAGCTCTTTGCTAGGTGACAGATTCCCTTTAATGCTGCTCCTCCCCTAATTGGCAAATCAAGGAAGGAATGAACTGGCAGAATTATTGGGACTAACACCAATGAAAGATTGGCAGTGCCTAGGTAGAGGTTCAGCAGGGAAAGATATAGCAGCGGCACCAGAAGGAGAGACTGTTGGGGGCAGATATGTTAAGAGGGGGAATGGGAATGGAAGACTATACTATGGAATGAGAGTAGCAAAAAAGCCTAAGTAGGAAAGCAAACTTAACAGCTTTCCATACCAGCAAGACACCAGACACTGTACTATTATGAGATATCTCTCTAGGTAGCTTATGAAAGCAAAAGAGACAGAAGGGTGCCCAACCTAGTGCAGATGATTTTTTATTTTAAAAAGACACAGAATAGACACTGGAGTGTGGCGTCGTTGACCCGTTTCCGGGGTCACGCCCCCTTCTTCAGAACGTTCTGAAGACGCCAACAATCAACGACGCCACAATCCAGTGGCACACAGGCTGATTGCAGTCCTGAAACTGCTGTATCTTGGAAATCATCTATACACGCTGTTGTTTGACCTACCATTGTGAGTACTCTTGCACTCATATTCTGTGTCTTTTTAAAATAAAAAATCATCTGCACAAGGTTGGGCGCCCTTCTGTCTCTTTTGTTTTCCAGTTTTCCAGTTCCCCTGGCTGAAGTGGGGCAGCACCCCTAGCAATCTTGTACACATACCACTCAGCATCATGATCCGTTCACAGCGCTTTGGCTTCAATATATTTGTTTAGCTTATGAAAGCAGCATGTGAGTGTTCACTGACCTTACTGAGCTGGGGGATGACCTCCCAAAGCAGGGCATGCAGAGTACTCAGCTCTCGCCCCAAGTCGATGTAGCCCTCGAAGTTGCTGCTGTTGGTAAGCGCGTCCATGTTGGAGATCTCGTACAGAAAATTCTGCATATTGGCCAACTCCGTCTCCAGGAACTCGTTCATGAAGGACATGTGCTCTTCCTTACTGCTGAACCTGGGGACAGTGACATTTCAGTAGAGTTAGATGTACATGATGTTAGTTTTGCTCATCCATAAAGTCCTATCTGTCTGTTGTAAAATTGTCACCCATGTCGTGTGATTCAGATGTTCACGACAATAGATTCATACATTTCTATCCTGCTTTTGAAACATCTGCTAATCAGTTATTCATTTCCTTGCTATTATTTGGTCTGTATTGCCAAAAATAATGAAGCCACATAAAGACAAATGTCAAAATCAGAAAGAGCGGCATGACTGTTCAACCAGTATTCCTATGTCGCAGCAGAGCTTGCTAGTCAATATGAGGATATCTCTTGCTTCGAGCCATGTAGGTTTCTCTCCTGACCATGACCATGGTCCAGCTGTCAGACTCTCCTCTTGCTGAGCCAGCAAATCACAAAATGTTGAAAGAAAAAACTCTGCAGTTCTAATAATTGGACCACTAAATTGGCCATAGAAACGCAGAAGAGTGATGGAAGAAAAAGACCAAGTGGTTCATCAATTCTGCCCCTTGATTTTTGTTTTGTTTTTGTTTGTTCTTAAAGCCTTTTTGTATAGATCTGTTGGTCCCAAGCTTGTTTATATGTACTTACTGCTACATGACTCACTACCTCTGCTGGATGTCTGTTCCAAACATCAACTTTCTGTAAAATAATACTGGTTTTGAACTTTGCTCCCACTAGTTTGAAGTCATGTCGCCCTGTTCTTGCCCGTAGCTTTTTATTGCAATTACACATTAAGTTGCTGAAGTCTTTCCTGATATGTTTTATCCCCCAGAACTTTCACTATTTGTTTCTCAGATTTTGGTCTCTACAACAACATTTTGTAAGTGAGGTCTCCAGAACTGTACACCGTATTCTAAATGAGGTCTAACTAAAGATCTATATAGGGGAATCAGGACCTCCTTCCTCCTGCTGGGGATCCCTCTAGTGATAACTAAAGGTTTATATAGAGGAATCAGGACCTCCTTCCTCATGCTAGGGATCCCTCTAGTGATAATAAGGATCTATATAGAGGAATCAGCACCTCCATCTTCTTGCTGGGGACCCCTCTTGTGATAACTAAAGGTTTATATAGAGGAATCAGTACCTCCTTCCTCATGCTAGGGATCCCTCTAGTGATAATAAAGATCTATATACAGGAATCAGGACCTCCTTCCTCCTGCTGGTGATCCCTCTAGTGATAACTGAAGATCTATATAGAGGAATCATGACCTCCTTCCTCCTGCTGGTGACCCCTCTAGTGATAACTAAAGATCCATATAGAGGAATCAGGTCCTCCTTCCTCCTGCTGGTGACCCCTCTAGTGATAATAAAGATCTATATAGAGGGATCAGGCCCTCCTTCCTCCTGCTGGAGATCCCTCTAGTGATAACTAAAGATCTATATAGAGGGATCAGGCCCTCCTTCCTCCTGCTGGAGATCCCTCTAGTGATAACTAAAGATCTATATAGAGGGATCAGGCCCTCCTTCCTCCTGCTGGAGATCCCTCTAGTGATAACTGAAGATCTATATAGAGGAATCAGGACCTCTTTCCTCCTGCTGGTGACCCCTCGAGTTATAAATAAAGATCTATATAGAGGGATCAGGACCTCCTTCCTCCTGCTGGTGATCCCTCTAGTGATGACTAAATATCTATATCTTCTTCCTCTTGCTGGAGATCCCTCTAGTGATTAATCACATATTTCTATTTGCTTTCCCCACTGTCATGCATCACTGTCTACACATTATGCAAACATCTGAAATAAGCACCCCTAAATCTTTTTTCCTCTGTAGTTCTGACTAATTCTGTACTCCTAATATTGTACTCTCTCTGGGAATATTTTCCCCTAAATTGCATGGTTTTTCATACAGAAACATTGAACTGCAGTTTACGCTGCTGTGACCAATCTTCCAGAAATGCCAAATCTTGTTCCATGTTATAAACATCTCCAGAAATATCAACCCTACTGCACACTTTTATGTCATAAGCAGAAATGCATACTTTGCCTAGCAAATGTTCTAGTTATATCACTTACAAATAGATTAAATAGTACAGGACCTTGTGGTACACCATCAGTGGCTGGTCTCTCTACCAAAATAAACCCCATTTACAACCATTCTCTGATATTAAACTCACTGGCCTGTGGTTGCCAGCTTCTTCCATACTACCCTTCTTGAGGATAGCAATGTAGATCACCAGCACTCACTCTGCACGGTGCCATCCATGGACATCACTGCAAGCACCACTTTTACAAACAAAGGTCTTGATTGCTGTATGGTGTGCAGGGGACAATTCTGTTGATTCTTCTTGAGGATAGGTACCATATTAGCTATTACTTTAAGGGTCCATTCAGATATGTGCATTGTGATAACACACTGTGACAGTGTTTATGGGCCTAGAAGAGCTTAACCTCACAGCTCCATATTACTTATATCTCCACCTAAGTTCTCTTTGGAAACAGGTGCAGGTTTTTCCTTGAAAGCTAGGTTAGTTGTCTCAAGTTTTGTAACATTTGCTGATTCAGCAACAGGTGAGGAGTCTGCCAACTTTAGTATATATTGATGGCTGTCAGGTAAAAAAAAAAAACTTGCACCCAAATGAAAGGTGGCCAGCTTTTATCTGATTCGGAAAAAAAATCTCTGATCAACAACTGTTTAGATAGAAGCTCATAGAGAGTGCATTAGTTTAAATCAGTCACATCTGACTGCAAGAGTTGCATTGAAAGAGAAAAACCAATGCAAAACCATTGTGCAACACTACGAAGCAGTAACCTATACCGCATATGTAATGAGCAAATTAAGTTGCCCACCCCATATAATTGTGAATTATACACATGAATAGAGTTTTTAAAGTAACCCTGAGAGCTGCATAGAAAAAAAATCAAGCTGAAAGTCTCCTCCAGTTCAAGAGATATAATAGTTACCTCTCTAGCGGCCCATGTCTCTAAGGCTGGGTTCACACCTGGGCGTACGGAATTTGCGCGTTTGCAGCGCGTTTTTACCGCAATTTGCGGTAAAAGAAACACGCGACAAATGCGCGTTTACGAGGGCTATCCAACTGTATCCTAATGGATACGCATGGAAAATACGCCCCAAAGAAGCTAATGTACTTCTTTTGGCATAGAGCGTTTTTCAGCACGTTCCTATGCACTGAAATACGCCCGTAGGCAATTATTGCTTTTCACATGCTGAGCGTTTTACAGCGCGTCGATAAGCGCTGTAAAACGCCCAGGTGTGAACCAGGCCTTAGTGTCACTCCATTTCACTGCTGAAGCCCCTGCCATACTCTTCAATATTCAACACTTCTGGAAGTTTCAGACGCCCGTGTCCCCCATTAAATGCTGTGGTTTCCTCCTCCGACCCCTACATCAATGCAGAGTTATGTAGTGACATAAAGGTTGAGGGCTGGAATGTTGAAGAACCCGGAGGCTGCAGTGCTGGGACCAAGTGATGGTAGGAGACACAGGCCACTGGAGGTGAGTATAATACCTCTTCTATTGCAGGAGACTTTCAGATCTGTTTTTTTTAAGCGACTGATAGGATCACTTTAAAATATATGAACACACAATTATAGGATTATTCAATTTACTAAGGGAAGTACAGCGGCTGCCATTGATCACCTCCTTCTAAAAAATCTAGCTGCCTGGCTGTCTATTTCAGCCTGCGTCAGAGCTCCCGGTTCAAGTTGGTGACTCGGAAATGCTGCTGGATCAGCGTACCAGGCATGGTAACTAGAATTTTAAATTTTACTGAATGAGATCAACAATAGTAAATTAGTACAACCTTTCTTTTCTGATCGCACCCACATGACATGGACCAAACACATCTTTCAGGGGATTCCCTATAACATCACTGTCTGGGCCTTGTATGAAAATGATTCCATTGGCAAATGCTGTCCTTGCCCATATTAAAACTTCATATATCAAACATCACATTCAGACTATTTTTTTCATATGCCAGGTTTTAAGCTGTAAGGTCAATTCCACCTAGAACTGAGCAGCAGTTTTTCATAGCTGCCGACAAGATAAACCACACGCTGACTTTCTTTCGGGTCCTCCAGCAGTACATCATTCCCAGCAGAATTCCTAAGTGCCGCAGTCATTTCTTTGCTAAATTATACTGCCAGCCCACCAGCATGATAGATTCTTTATATCATAGAATAAATAATTAAGGAGCTGTGCAAGAGGATTATATCCTAATTATGGCCTTGTGAGAGGGCAAAAATGCTGTAGGGTAAATATCCCCACTGGAGTCACTCAGAGATAGAAGAGGCCAGAGGGAGATGATCAGTTTTAGGTGAAATTGGCCTTTAAATACAGAATCAACTTGGCTGCTATTGGTGGCAGCCCCATTCTGCCTTTCACATAAGGGTCAAGGTCCCCACCCTGAGATAGGACAGTCCCACTTTCCCCCTTTCTGTCCCTGTGTCACTCCCCCCGCTGCCCCTACTCTCACTTGAAGTTGAAGTTGGCCAGGTTCTGGATGACCTTAGCGATGAGTGTGAGGGTCCTGGAGGTTTGCTCATCAGGATACTCCTGCATCAGGCCGAAGAGGCTGGGGGACATGATGCCCGGACACAGGAAGCGGAGGAAGAGAGAGGCACTGATGAGTCGATCTGCTATGTCTTCACGGCCGCGCTCTGCACAGCGCATCCTCCATGATGCAAAGACCTCCTTCAGCTCCCGGGGGAATACACTGAGGGGGAGGGTGAAACCAAACAGTTAGAACAGTGATACAGGAAATGCTTAAAGTGCTTCTGTCAGTAAAGAAGCAGCCATTTTTGTTGTCCAACCAATACTTAGAACGTGTGACATCACCAAAGGGATGGAGTAAAGGGCAGGCTATTACTTCTACTACCAACAAAACATAAGGATATATGAGACTGTCTGCATTGAGCTGATTCATTGTTGAGAGTTACATCACTCCATTGCTATCCATTCTACTATATTAAAAAAAAGTAACTTCATCTGTCCAGGATATTGTGAAGAGAACCAAGATTGTGTTTCTGCAAGAATATGAATATTTCCTACTAAGTTTCTACAACTGTTCAAACTTATTTATGAAATATTCCCATTGATCTCGTTGTTTTGAATTACTTTGGTTGTTGCTCTCCTGACTAAGGTAGCTCTGAGGTCCCCTTTCTCCACTTTACCCCTTAATTGTGTAAACTCCCCCCAAATCCTCCCCTGTACTAAATAATACCACTACACAATGGAATGGAGTTTAATGGCCACAGCGGACTCTTATTAACAAAAAACAGAATAAATAACATTTATAAAAAACCAACAGCAACAAATAACTAGACTGTATAAAAATTCTCAGGTTTCAGGTCCTTCAAGGCACTATGAACCATAAACAAAATTGCTACTGCGGCCACATTATGCACCTGATGCCCCCAGCCGCCATACACCGCCTCGGGGATGTTATTAATTGGCCGCAGACACACATTGGTCCCTATTACTCCGTTGTAACTGTTGAACTTCACCATATGGGGGACACCCACACCAAAGATGGGTCCCCCATTCATTTATCAAAATCACAAGCAGCCAAGAAACGTCTTCAAGGATCCAAATCGCCAAGCGCCATGACGAAACAATCCGAGCCAGATGAAGAACAACTCCAGGGCGGGTGGAAGGGATGCTCGCCTCTCGTCTGACGACCTCCGACTGGCTCTATGTGACTCCTCCACGCAGACCACCCTCCGAAGCCCCTTCTAGCCAACCTCTATGGCCCAATCTGGTAAGTTCCCATGCCCCACCTTAACTTTCTCCTTGTTTAACCTCTTCCTGTCCAGGTTCCCCTTCCCACCCTTGTCATGTAGACCTTCTGCTCATTCCCCTTTAGTTTCGTGGCTCCAGGCCTGTCTTTTCAACTGCCTGACCTCATACTGTCTCCCAACTTGCTGGTATCTCACATTCACTGATACCAGGACCAGCACCAAGCATGGTGGAGGATAATGAACATCTCGATCACATTAAAGTGTGTCTTAAATCAAAACAATTGGACAAATCTCTCACCAGTTACTGAGCTGAGCTGAAATTTAAAGTGGACCTATAGCCTATTGTAAAACTGATCGTAGGAGCTGAATGACAGTTACTTGTAACCGAAGATATAGGAAAACATCTTCAGTTACAGAAGATGTGAAAGACTCCACACCAAAGGTTTTGGAGTCCAAAAACATTAATTAAATTTTAGAAATTCAAGATGACAATCCAACAAATTTTTTTTGGGGGGGGTACCTGGTCCCCCCTTCAACAGGACTCACAGTGTTGTTTGGTAAGGGAACGTGGGCTCTTTAGCTTAAGTACTAGCTTCTGAAGCCTGATCTTAACAAGAAGTTGTCCTAGCTTAATAATCCATTTAAATCCACATTTTCCATCCCAAACAGCAATCTAAACTATGATGCAGGGGGTACCATATAGACCAAAAATACAATGCTATGATGCAGGAGGTACCATATAGCCCCAAAATACAATGCTATGATGCAGGGGAACCATACAGACCAAAAATGAAATGCTATGATGCAGAGGGTACCATATAGACCAAAAATGCAATGCTATGATGCAGGGGGTACCATATAGACCCAACATGCAATGCTATGATGAAGGGGGTATCACATAGACCCAAAATGCACTGGCTTGTTACCTTGAATGTCAATGATGAAATAAATAATTTTGAACTATTGATCCTATGGTGTGATGCTCTTGTTTTCCTGCATCTCCCAGCAGCAAAAATCTAACCAATACACAGCCTAAAAAGTAAATGTTTGACTGGAGTTACACATTAAGCTCTCAACAATGTTGCATCTCTTCACAAAATGGCTGCTTCATTGCTGACAGTTACACTTTAAATAGAAAAAAACAGAGGGAGAAGGAAATAAAGGACCAATGTGAGGAGGAGAATAGCTCTGGAGGTGGCAGTAACAAGAATACAGTCAGGATGGGAACACAGAGGGGTGGAAGGGAAATGGAGAGGAGGGGAAGGGGGTGAAGAGATAAGTAATATGTAATGGAGAATGACTAACATATAATGTCTCATTCTTTTCCTGGCAATGACATCATATGACCAGACACTGACCAATGGGAGTTGAAGACTTTGCAAAGCGCAAGTTCGCAGCACATCCTGAGATTGGCCTGGTGATCGGGCAGCGCAGAAGGCGGACAACGCATTGGGTCAACCTCGCAGTCCTCCTCTGACTCGTACAGAGCCCGAATAAACTCACCTGAGAGGGAGAGAAGTGACGAGAGTATGTGATCAGCACAGTTAGGTGAGAGCAGGTGAAATCAGCAAAACCAACCATAACAAACATGCAGCTACAAAACTGACCCCATTAAACAGCTTTCTTTAAGGGTCATTCACTAAGCTGCCGAAGGCAGCCGGGTGAATAACCGTGCCGAAGTGAACATAGCCAAACGACGTTCGGCTATTGACTCCGGCTCAGTATGGCTGATTTCAGCCGTACATTGGCTGCCTTCGGTCAGCCGAACATGCTCTGCATGTTCAGCTGAGCCGAAGTGCAGAAGGACTTTGACTCAGCCGATCCAACATCTGGATCAGCTGAGCCGAAGCTCCGGCAGCTCACTCGCTGCCTTCGCCCCTATTCTCATAGGAGCCGAACGGCAGTGAATAAATAGCCAAATTCCGCCAAGTGGCACTCGACTCGGCTATTCTGCTCAGTACCTCTGTGGCACCGACCAGAATACAAAATAGTGAAAATAGTAGGGGGAAAAAAGGTTAATAAAAATATTTTAAAAATTTAAATAAATAGTGAAATTAAAAAAATAAATAAAGATATTTAAAAAAAGAAAAAATTATAATAATAAAAAAACAATTGGATGGAGCTAGCAGTGACATCTAGCTTCGCCCAACTGTTTCCTATTGGCCAGCACCTGCAAGAGTCTTCTAGCAGGTCCCTGCCAATGAATAATAACCGCCCAGTTGTGATTGTTTAATAAGAGATCAGGGTCCCCAGGTAATTTAGGGACGCTGATCTGTCATTATAACTGGGCGGAGCCAGCTGTGAGATCACGGCTGGCTCCGCCCAGCTGTCATTTGCAGGGCAAACGGCCCGCTTTGGCTGTCACTTCAGCTCAGTCGTGCCAAAGCATATGCCCTCGGCTCTGCTGAACCGAAGGGCTCTGGCGGCCGAAGAGAGCCGAAGGATCAGCCGAAGCTACGGTTGGATCCTTTAGCTCCTTTGTGAATAACCCCCTATGTTTTTAAGTGGAATAACATGGATCTATACTGTTGACCTTTCTTTCTTAACCAGCATTGCTGTGACGGATTTTCAACATTTGAGCTAAGCTAATAAGTTAATTGTTTGAGATATTTGGAACATTTGTTCAAATAAAAGCAGATCTTGAACAAAATATCATATTCAGCTATGCAACATTGGCCATTTGATGAATAAAGCAAATTCAGTCTGTTAAAACAGTATCTGTGCTATGGTGATAAAACAATTAGGCACAACCTGTGCAAACCAAATAGCAACTGTAAGTGCAAAATATTTGCTTTATTTATTGAAATATGATGGCTCCAGAATACAATTTACATAGACAATACAAGGTTACAGACCAGACTGTTGGGCAAGCAAACCTGATATGCATTATCTAAAATTTAATATGGTCTTAACATTTTTTTTTATTGTTCTATATGTGATTATAAACAAGGTCATCCTTAAAATAATAGGCAATAGCAATTTTCTTTTGTTCTTAAGACACAATTTTCAACTGATATATCACAGGAGGCCTAAATCGGCAAACCTAAGCAAGCAGTGCACAGTGGATACATTACCAATGGCTTCCTTGAGGTATCTCTGTCCTATCAGTTTCAGATACTCCTCTATGGCTTTAGTTGCAAGTGTGTTCTCACGGAGAATAAGGTGCTCTCTATCAAGGAAGCGATCAACCTCTGTCATAGCCATATCCGAGAGGAAGTCCTGAGAAAAAAAAGGCATAGGTGTTAACAGGAAGTGCCTATAGTGACAGTTCTGCAGAGTACAAGTACCAGTGTTAGTTTATGTGGCCCTGTGGAACCTTTTGGATACCAGGCCCAGACTAGATACACGAGGCCAACTAACCTCCGCCCCTCTTAATACTAATAGTTGTCTCCTATCATTCAATAACAGGCACGGCAAAGCTTTCATTGAACAGTCCATGACCCCATCGCACACCTGACCGCTTTCTCCATGTAGATTAGGTGGGTGCAGTCGTCGGATGTCAACCGTCAATGCACAAAAAGAAGTATGGACACCGGCACTCCAAATTGCAAGTCAAATGCGTCTATCTATTTATTGATGTAAATGCAGAAAATCTCATTATAGTGCAACGTTTCTGGGTCTCGCAGGATCCCCTTCCTCAGGCATCACATCCTGAGAGACCCCAAAAAGTTGCATTATAATGTGATTTGCTGCATTTACATCAATAAATAGACGCATTCGACTTGCAATTTGGAGTACCGGTGTCTATACTTCTTTCTGTGCATTGACGGTTGTCATCCGACGACTACCGTTGCACCCACCTAATCTACATGGAGAAAACGGTCAGGAGTGCGACGGGTTCATGGACTGTTCTTTCAAAGCTTTCATTGAAGTCACAAAAATACATATTCAGCCACATAGACAGTCTTGGTTTTCATAGTCTGACCTCCACAGTCCTGCTACATTAGCTGTGCTGGGAGTGCAGATTTACCCAAGTAGTCAGTGGCCACCAGTGTTAGACCCAGTGCATTCAGTAATGTAGCAGGCATGGTCAGACATGTCCC